AGCAAAGGAGGTAGGAAGATGAAAAATGGAATTACTTTTTCTGAGTTAGTACCCAGAAAAGTGACCACACTTCACACTGGTACATGGTAGAAACTCTACAAGAGGTTTGCGGTTGAGTTTCTGAAGAGGACAAGTATATCATCTTATTAAGGATTCTCCTTAGCATAGCTTTAGGTGAATTAGCCTTCTTTGAAGAATAGACTCCTGGACAGATGATTGACCGATCCAACTGGATATGCTCTTATTTTTTAAGCTTTAAAAAAATTTATTCAGTTTTATATTATGGGTGCTTTTCCTGAATGTATGTCTATGCACCACGGTATGCCCAGTGCAAAGAATGGGCAAAAGAGGGCATTGGAGGCTGGGAAAGGGCATTGGATCCCCTAAGACTATAGTTAAAGACAGTTATGAGCTGCTATTTGATGCTGGGAATCAAACCCAGCAGGTCCTCTAGAAGAGCAGCCCACCCTCTTAACCACTGGAGCCATCTCTCCATCCCCAGACACGATTAACTCTTAAGGGATAAGGCAATAGTATTCAGTATTCTTATCTTTGGTACAAAACAGAACGCCAAGTCTGTAGACAATGGAGATCCAGGGCCAGAAGTATTTCAGTCTGTTGACCAGGATGCCCAAGCAGTGGCAAAGTGTACCTGGCCTAGTGTTACCATGGAAACTGACTGAGGGAGGGGTTCATCCTCAACAGTTTGAAGGTTATTATAACATTCCCCTCTTAAGAGCTGAGACCGAAGATCACTGAGAAAGTGGGCTGAAGTTAGAGAATAGCTACTCCCTATTTCTACTATGAAAAAAACCAAACCCAGAGTCCAGCTCCAGAGCTTTTCACCAGAGGGATCAGTGTCCCCAGCGACCAGAGTTTCAGTCACACTGTCATGGATCACTTCCAGGCAGGGTGCTCATTTAAGAGAAGTGAGATAAGAAGTCACAGCTCCCCTATTTTTAATAGCCAGAACCTGGAAGCAACCTAGATGCCCCTCAACTGAAGAATGGATAGAGAAAATGTGGTACATTTACACAATGGAGTACTACTTAGCAGAAAAAAATAATGGAATCTTGAAATTTTCAGGCAAATGGATGGAATTAGAAGAAATCATTCTGAGCAAGGTAACCCAATCACAAAAAGACTAACATGGTATGTACTCACTCATATGTGGATTTCAGACATAGAGTAAAGGATTACCAGCCTACAATCCATTAAAAAAAATTTAAAACTGCTGCTTTAAAAAAGATTCTTCATGCCTGGAGACATGGCTCAGCTGTTAAGAGCACTTGCTGCTTTTCCAGAGAAGTCAGGTTCTGTTCCCAGCATTCATAGGGTGGCTTACAATCACCTATAGCTTCAGTTCCAGCAGCTATGATCCTCTCATCTGGCTTCTGTGCATGTCCAGCAGGCATGCACATGGTACACAGGCATACATGAAGGCACACATCCGGGTTTGCATAAAAATAAAAAAAGAAGAAGTCACAGCTCCCATCTGGCATCCCCGGCCTGTGGCCAGGACAGAACCAAGGACATCTCCAGGATCTGGCCACAGACAAGAATAGAAGTGCCGATTTCCAGGGGGTCCCGGCTCTAAGCCACCTGACCAGTTTCTGCCTCCTGTACCCATCACTGCTGGTCACTCAGGCTTCTACCCAGCACCTGCCTATCTTCTACGACCAAGTGATGAGCCAAGGTTTTTAATGACTTCTTTGCCAGTAGCAGCCACCTAAGCCGGAATCCACCCTTCTGTCCATTCTTCCACTCAACCAATATCCATGGAGACACAGCAGTGGAAAAGTCAGTCCTGCCTTCAGGCTCCCACAGTGCAGCAGGAAAGCTTAGCAGTGAACTCACACTGCCCCTCACATCAACACATTATAATTGACATTCATGCTGTCAAGAAATAAGGCATCAGGATGCTGAATGTGAGAACAGCATCAGCCCAGCCGGGAGGAGCCAAGCAAAGCTTCATGAATATGACGTGTCAACCAAAACAAGGGACTTTAGCTGAAATGTTTTAGGCAGTGGGTACAGCATGTGCAAAGACTCTGGGGCAGAAAGGAGCTTGATATAAGAAGGGTATTAGTTCCAATTATTAAACACACCATTCCTCCTTGTTTGACTACAGCGCAGTATCTTCAAGACACTGCTCCACAAACTGAACACTAGAAAATAAGAGGCCAGGTCACACATGGTGTCTCAGCAGGTGAAGGCGCTCATCACCAAGCCTGACTACCTGAGTTCAAGCCCAAAAACCACATGGTAGAGAGAACTAACTTCTGCACATTGTCCTCTGACTTCCATATGTATACCATGTGTGCCCACACAAACACACACGTACACACGTGCACATGATGGTGCATGAAGAGAGAGAGGCCAACAAAGGAATCTGGGTCCTGCACTATTGGTTGTGCTACATGGAAGACAGAAGAATCTGTAGCATGCTGTGAGGCCCACAGCCTCCTCAGACCCAACCTTGCCCACTGTTACCACACAGAACCTGTCACAAGACTGCAGAAGACAAAGGGCTGATCAGGGCAAGAATCCCGCAGTACCTGGCTTTAAAATAGATCTCTTCCACAATTGTCATGTGATAATGGCAGCCTGGACTAATTTTCCCCAAACACTTGCCTCCATGCCTACACTCAGCTTTTACTTCGACTTATGTATCTCCCAAAGTAAACAGTTGGGGGGGGGATGGAGAACAAAGGAAAGAAAAAAAGAAAAATAGGAAGGAAGGGAGGGAGGGGGAAGGAAGGAGAGATGGAGGGAGGATGGCAGAAAAGAAAGGAGGGAGGGAGAAAAGAAAAGAAAGGCAAAGAAAAGGAGGGAGAAAGGAAAATAAATCCCCCCAGGACCTTCTTGCACTCTGAGATTCACAGGGCTTCTGAATGCCAGCCTATAGTTTTTCAAGGCTCAGACAACATCATCACCCAGTTTAAGGAGCCCAACAAAGCTACTCCCCACCCCCACCCGTTGCTGATTGCCTTCGAGGTGTGTGGTCCAGAAAACCAATCCATTTAGAGGACAAAGCCTGCCAGTCTTCTTCCCAATTCGCTCACTCACTTACTGTTTTCTCCAGGTAAAAGCTGCAACCTAAGTAGGGTCTGAAAAGGAAGCAGACCTGACAAAGTACAAGAAACATAAGAGAGCGTGGGCGGGGGGTGGGTGGGCAGCAGAGGATGTGAGGAAACCACCATCACCTTCCTTCGGGTTTTGGGAAGCCTCTCATCTGAGAGCTCCATGGGAGTTACGCGGATCATGTGACAGAGCCATGCATGAACTAACTTTGTGCTTAGAAATTATTGTAAGATGGAATCACAGGTCACACGATGTTTTCTTAATTCCAGATCCCTTGGGACAAGTCTGAGGCAACAGTCATGGGAATGGGGCAAAGCACCTCCCACACATGGTGTGGCATTTTCACAGGGTCAGGTCGAGATGTAAACTCACTTGTTGCTCCACACTGAGTTGCTCTCCTTTCACTGCTCGGTTTTAGGGGTGATCTGAGAATAAATTGAACTCTTTGGGCTTATTCTTCTCTTGCAAGTTTTGAAGTAACCTCATTGTTTTAGCCATACTCAAAAAGTCCTCACCTCAGCAAACTAAATATTAGCTGAAATAAGAAAACACATGAACGAGTATGCACACACACACACACACACACCATAGCTCAAATTCTCTGTCAATTTTCTGTCAAAAGTCTTTACAGCAGAAGAGTCCAGTCTCTAGGGAGATGTCCTAATTTTCATCTGGTTCTCTTACTCTATTTTGGCAAACCACTGTGTTGCCCAACGGCAGTCCTACTTTTTATTGCAAATGGCACAATGTAGATCATTCACAAAGGTGTACCAAGATTAGGAGTTGTGGAACATTCTAGAACATAAGCTTTGTGCTCACTGGCTTCTATAGTTAACATAGTACTTCTCCCAATTACCCTCCCTTCAAAATAATTCCTCCTGCCCAGAGTGCTTTGTGCCATCTAGGGCCATACCACCCTGCAGGCACCCAGTCTCCGCCAATGTGTGTCCAAAGAAGGACAAAGAAAGGACAGAGTGAGAAAGAAATTGATGAGAAAACATTCAGCCACCTTCTGAATCACCAGTGCCCCCAGGAAACCTAAAATCCATTCCTTTCTTCCAGTCTTCAATGGGAGTATTTTCCACTGGGTGTCCCTGTGGACAGAGATTCACGAAACTTTCCCAAAGAACAACTGGAGTTCAGTTTGCAATGGGGACCTAGAGCTTCTTGCCTCTCTTAGCATCCTGTCACTTCACCAGCTCCAAGCTCTGCTTCTTCTGGCAGGAAGACCTGCAGGCATGACTTTTGCTGGTAAAGTCTAGTAACACAAGGAAATTGAATGGGCAAGGAATTCAAACTAGGTGGGATTAGGAGGTGCCTGAAATCAAATGTCCTCCATTTTCAATGTTCCATTCCCAGGTTTACACTGGAGAGTATCAAACTTCCAGGATGCTTAATATGCAGAAACAGGCTCATTACCCCACAAAGTCTGTTCACTACATAGGGAATAAGAGCAAACCTAGTTTCCCTGGACACGAGTTCAAACGTATATTTCAAAATGATATTTCATGGGGATACAAAAAGAACTATATTATTATTCAAAAAAATCTTTCGTACCACAAAATTAAAAGATTTTATAACCTTGTCTCCCCCCACCCCATCTTTCCCCAAGGAAGAAATTGTAAAGGCTGGTCCTTGAAAAAAATAATATAGTAAAATCTAGCTTTATTCCCCTAATCTCTTACTGACACTGCAGCTGGCCGTGATCTATTTAGCATAACACAAAAATAATGCATTCACACCAAACAGATTCAAAACTCTTTAAAATAGTGAAAGCTATTTACTTGATTGATTAAGTTAAAGTGTTTACATAAAAGTGTCATATTTTGACATCAGTCATACAACACCACATCTGGTACTTCTAATTAAATTGTGTGAAAAAAAACTACATTTTTTATTCAGTCACAACAATATGGCTAAGGGGAAGAACGAACGTATTCGTCATGCCTGGAGCCTGGGATCTGCAGTTGTGGTATGCGGTGGCTAAAATCCCCAGATTTGGATTCTGCAAAGTTTTCATAGCCTCCAACACGTGTTTTGTCTGAACAAAGGCTAAGCAACGGAGCCCCACCTCTGTGAGTCAACCGTTATTATTTTTCTTATTCTGATTTAAACCTCTCCAAGCGCCCTGAGTAAAGTACAACGTAATGAGGGTTAGAATAAACTTGTTTTAAGGAATTGGTGTTCAGGGCCCAGGTAAGGCGCTTTGTTTTGTTAAACTTTGATTTTGCAGATTAGGGAATAAACTGCAGGGAACGTTAGTAGGGAGTGAGGGAGTGAGATCCTATTATTCACTCAGAACAGGAACCCATTTGTATCTTCGTGGAAGCTGGGAGTTCATACCTATCTTACAAATGGAGCACTTGATTTAAAGCACTGGGTTCCCCCCCCCTTTCAAAATTAAGATGAAGTATTTTACGTACAGTGAAATAAAGGAGAAAATGGCTCTGCTTGCTGAGGCAAACTCACTTCGCTTTTAATATAGACAAATAATCCTTCAAAATTCTCTTTTTATTTTTTTAAGTTAAATTATGTCCACCCCATGTGCAGATTCAATTTACCCACTAAGTACATAGTCAGCCTCCCCTCTCAGGGAACCATCCATTTACCTAAGAAGGTGGAGGGGGCGGCTGCTGTATTTTCTTAAAGAAATTCCTAGCATTTTCCCCCCTCCCCCCTTTTGCCTGAAAGACTACGCTGAGAAATACTGTCCAGCAGTAAAAGGAAAATGGGTTCGAGCTTCAAAATCAGAAACTTTGGGTAGTAAAACGTAAGTTATAAAGTTGATGGTGAAGGCAAAATAAACGGGGGTCTTTTAAATGGGCTAAGTGTCAGCCAGGAGAAGCGACGACTTCCTGTAGAGTCAGCCAACCCCCACCTTCCCGCTTGGCAAATGCTGCCTGCAAAAGGCTCTGCAAAAGGTAAATAAATGTACACTTATTTACCATGTACTATGTTCAACTTAAGGTAAGTAAACGTGAAGGCAGCAACCATGAAGTACAGAGGGCATGGTTTTCTGTAATTGCAAAGGAGACTTAGGTAGTGCTGTGTGCGGCGTTTGATTTAAAATGTTAAAATATTAACAGAAGTTTTCTATAGCAGAGTGTTCCTATCACAGTGAAATGACTCATAAGAATGCTAAATTCAAACCAGATGGGCACAAACATTAACCAAAAAAAAAAAAAAAGTCATATATTTAGGGGTCAGCATGGGTCTTCATAAAAATGAATGTCTTGTCTGGGTTAGCGAGGATTGAACTTGCAGAAGTAAAGAGGGAAAATATTAGCGATTTTCTTTTAATTAGACAGGCCACCGTCTGCCGCAGGAGCTAAGGTTTACAAAACTTTAGATTGCCGTTTTAATTCATAAAAGATGGCTGTGACCATCCGAAGACTTCAGATGCATTTGGACGGGTGGCTGTGCAGCCAGAGACATGGTCCCTAACAGTCAGCAAAAATCTTCTTGCTTCCCACCAAGAAGTAACCCTCATTGAAGATTTGTGTGGTATAGAGACTTCCAGCCCGCACTCCTGGCAGGGTGCCAGCTTTTACTCCTCTTTCAACAGACCACAGAGGAAAATTCCCATTGCTGGGTCAGACACCCTACCAAACTCTGGTCTCTTGTTTAAATATATATATATATATATATATATATTTCTCCTTTTTTGTTTGCTGCTCTGAGCTTTTTACCATTTGCAGATTGTCTGGGGCATGTGCTGTGTTTAAATGTGTACATACCCTACAAGAAGAAAAATATGTGGTCTCAGAATTAATATTGTTTTTGACTTATAGGGAAATTCCAGTTGTGTTTAACTTGGACTGTGGGATCCAGGAGCTTTACAGAGAGGAGAAACGAATGTGTTTTGAACAGAAATGTGAATCGGGAGTTCCCTACTGTTTTGTTGCTGGGACCCTGGTCAACACAAGGAGAAATGACAAGCACATAATTTAGGCTGGCAGCCATAACGCTCAGCCTGTGAGCCTGTCAGCTCTTACTAGGGATGACAGACCTCCCAGGAACAAGAAGGTACTTCAGGAAATGGTATTTCTGATTCAGTAGGTGGCCTCTCCTCTCTGGGTCCCTGTGAATAGATGCCCGGCGTGGTGTTAGGGCCACCGCGCTGCCCTGTGCTGTTTACCTTTCCGAAGAAACCCAAAACCACAGACCTAACCATTTGTGGTCACCAGAGATCTTATGGCAGACTTTCTAAGGGCAGTTGTGTTAACTCCAGAATCCTGGCCCGAGTCCAACTAAAGTAATTACATTCTGCTCCCATCAAGCTCCCCCTGCAGTTTCCATTGAATCTGATAGTCTGGACCCTCCATCTAGCAGCCTGGCCGGCATGGTGGTGGTTTGCATTCCACAGAGGAGAGGCAGCCTGTAAGTCAGCGCTGGAAGAAATGAACGCTCCATTCTCACCAGGCTGTGGCAAGTTGGAATTAGTTCCTGTTCATGCAAGCCTTGGGGGAATCTCTACTTTTGGGTATGCTCACAATGAAAGCTACAGGGAAGACGTCAGCCCTAGGGAGCCATCTCTGTGTATGGTGGGTGCTTTAACTAAAACAAGTATAAATCCTGGGACAGCAAAGTAGAGTCCTCCCACCCTCTGACTGGAAATACCGTATGTGGGACAAGGTTGGTCCAGGAGGTGACTGAAAAGGCACCTAATCTAAGTTGAGCAAAGCTCAGAGACCTGAGGAAGGAAAAGTATCTGGAAATGATGTCATATGAGGGGTGGGTAAAGGGACTTGAGATGTTTTATCTAAAAAGAAAGAAAGGGAAGGGAGGAAGGAGCAAAGGAAGAGAAAAAAAGCAAGAAGGGAGGGAGGCTAGGGGTTTAAAAAAGTTCAAAGAAACAGAAGGAAAGAATGGGAGGGAGAAAGTCAGGAAAGAGGAGTGGGGAGCAAGGGGAGGAGAGAAAGAGAAGAAACTGAGGCAGCAGGAGAGAAGCTGGCTAGAGATGGGGAGAGAGAAGAAACGAGAGGAGAAGGGAAGTTGGAGAGGGAAGGAAGGCTAGCTGAAATTAGAACACAGATACACAGGACCCGGGGTGGGGGTGGGGGTGGGGGTCACAAAGGGGCAGAGGAGGGCCTACCCTCCCAGCTGCAGCCTGCAGTGTCTTCCTCACCACCTCAGTGCATCAGTGCAACTCTCAGTCACATGCCCAGACTCCTCAACTCACATCCATCAGCAGGTGAAATCCATCCCACCACCAGCTCACTCAGGACTTACTACCCATGGCACTAATTAATACCCATGTCACTGGCTGTCAATGGATACCTTGTGGGCTCTGAATGCCATAGCTCATCAATCTGTCTCTAATATTAACCAGAGCAGAAACCATGACATTTCTCCATGTATTTGATAGTGCTAAGCAAAGCTGACTCAATTCTTCATCCAAGATCTTTTCAACAGCTGCTTATTAAGAGCCTCAGATACAACTGGGCAGTTGTGGTGCACACCTTTATCTCAATACTCAGCAGGCAGAGGCAGGTGGATCTCTTTGAGTTAGAAGCTAGCCTGGTCCAGGACAGCCAAGACTACATCGTAAGACTATGTCTCAAAATGTACCCCCCCCCCAAAAAAATGAGACAAACCTTCCTTCAAAGATGACCTCCAAATACACTCCATAAAGTGTGTCTTAGTTAGGGTTTCTATTGCTGGGAAGAGACATCATGACCACAGCAACTCTTATAAAGGAAAACATTGAATTGGGGCTGACTTACAGTTCAGAGGTTTAGTCCATAATTGTCATGGTAGAAAACATGGCATGCGGGCAGACATGGTGCTGGAGAAAGAGTTGAGAGTTCTTAAATGTTGACCCACAGGCAAGTAACATACTTCCTTCAACACCATCATAACTCCTCCAACAAGGCCACACCTCCCTATAGGCCAAGCATTCAAACACACAAGTCTGTGGAGCCATAACTATTTAAACCACCACAGTGTAAATCAATTTCTTTTGATGATTTGTTATTTTTATGAGTACAAATATTTTGCCTGAATGTGTCTATGTGTACCATGTGCATGTTGTACCCATGAAGACCAGGAGAGGGCATTGGCTGCCCTGGAGCTGTCATTACAAATAGCTGTGAGCTGCCATGTGGGCGGTGAGAATTGAAGACCCATCATCCTCTGTAAGAGCAGCCAATGCTCTTAACTTGTTGAGCCATCCCGTCCCTTCAGCCCAAAATATAGTTTATTTTTTATCCAAATGTTTGGGACAAGAAGTGCTTCAGTTTTCGTAATTTTTTTCAGACCTTGAAACATCTGTGTATGCATCTGAGATACGTTGGGGATGGGTCCCAAGTCTAAATACAACATTCCTTTGCTTCTTATGTACCCTATGCATAGCTTGAGGGTAATTATATGTAATATTTCAGTATCTTTGTGCACAACAAAGGTTATGTACGTAGAACCATCAGATGGAGGGGGGAAATTCAGCGATCAAAAAGTTTTGGCTTGAAAGAAACCCATTTATAATACAGATTAAGAAACAACACGAGACTTCAATCTTTCAGTCTTTCTATTGAAAAGAAAACAGTTCCATGTGTGTTGTGTTTGGGGGGAAGGGTAGCAGTATCGGGCAATTTAAAGAAGACTAAGTCTTTCCCTATGAGAAACATCCCATTTACAAGGGCACGGTGTTTTGAAGGGGTAAAAGAGGAATTACACATCCATGATTAAATTCCTGGGTTGTTGAATCAAGCTTTATTGATCCAGTGGAATTCAAGGCTTTTTAGAAAAAACAACAGCTGACCCAGCCAATCGTGAGAGCCAAAGATTGCCAATTAGTAACTAATCATAAGGACTCAGAAGGGAGGTAAAAAGAATCAAGGTATTTTAGCTCATGGTTGATGTTTTTATGAATATATGGTATCACCTGCAGTATGCTGGGCAACACGAAGAGGGCATCCTAGAGACGGATAAGAAGTAAATGGCTTTATCAACAAGGCAATACCCTACCAGAACATGAAGACTGGTCTCCTCAGTTCCTCGGCTGTACAGCTGTGTAAGATTTCAAAATTCTTTCTCCTCATCATGTTCACATCTGAGCATCAAGCTATGTGGCCTGTTCTCCCTGTCCCAACCCCAAGTCAAATCACGGAATGGTGGAAGGGACTGGAGAGCTGTCATATCACACCAGTCAAATATTTCTCTTATCATAGACAGTGTTTTTAAAGCAGTTCGTAAACACAGGCACTTTGTACAAGGGAAGTTACACTTTATGAACTATAAATGGGTTTTAAAGTGGCTTGCTCTCAGGCTGCTTTTCATTAAGATGCACATCAACTTGAATTTGTCTACTGCTAATTAAAATGATTATTGAGGCCTTTTTTTTAAGTTTCAGTTTTGGGGACATTTCGGATTTCAGATTGTCCTGATGGTGGACGCTAAACCTGTGCTCGGACTAAAGAAAGTAACCCACTAAAGCAAAAGATGTGTGAGAGATTTTAATGCTGCTGGATGTAATTTGGGGATTCTGTAGATACATGTACTTGCCACCAAGCCTGAGGGATTCAGCTCCATAACCAGAAGGCACATGGTAAGAGGAGAGCAGTGACTTCCACAAGTTGTCCTCTGACCTACACATGCATGCAATGACAAGAACAAGAGCCCCATCACCATGCTAAATAAACAAACAAATTAATGAGTGAGTACAATTTTTGTAGGCCACAGTGTCTGAGGGGGTGATTTCAAAGAAAGGAGCATATCCCAAGAATAAAGGCCTGAGAAATAGGAAACCTGGAGGAGTTTCCTAGAAGTACCGATAGGTCTTCAGATACAGGATAGAGTTTGGAGGCAACCAGGAGGCAATAGGAAAGCACCCCTGGAAATACTGCCAGAGGGCTCTGAGAAGTCACTACTGAACTCAGTATGTCACGGTTGGCCATTCAGATTATGGTTGATTTCAGAGTGATAGCCGTGGCAGAAGATTTAGGGGGCTGATCCAGCATGGCTGTGCTGGACGGATTGTGGCACTAAAAGGTAGGGTCTTCCAGGTCAGTGCAACTGTGGTTTGACAAGTAGTATGTTATGAGGCAAAGATAGGGGGACCCTATCCTGACATTGTAGCTGATGTCATATGATGCCACCATACTGATTTTCTGTGAGTGGCATGGCTCATTCTCACTGCTTTCCCCTGCATCTGTCCCTACTGCCACCACAGTTGTCCAGCTGTGGGGAGGGGTTTTGAGGATAAGTTACAGAGACGTGGAGGAAAGCCCTCCCTCTCAGCTTTGGCCCACAGTGTCCTTTCTGTAAAACCTTGTGCTGTGTCAGTGTAACTCCTACCCATTTACCAAGCCTCAGCTCAAATCTATCACCAGATGAAACTTATTCCGTTATGAACCCCACCAAACCTTGAAAACTATAGCCCTTTATCTCTCTGCCCCTATAGCCCTTAGCAGAAAACTCAAGACTAATAGCTGAGGGGCTGTAGCCAAGTTGAAATGGGGTGTGTCCTGAGGGGAGGGCCTGGGTTTCAGTTCATTTGTTAGGGTAGCTACAAAGTGGTGGGAATGTTCATATGTTCTTTCTTCGATGGGAGACCCCAGGACCATTTCCTGAGGGAATGTGATAAGAAAGGAATATAATTCACAGGCTCTTAGAGACCACCATAGTCTAAGAATAGAATGGCTACTGCTTGGGGAGAAATACCAGTATCTCTACTTAATGCTTCTCTTGGGCCTTGAAATGTTCCTATTGCAAACAGTGTGGTTTATGCATCCAGGAGAAAACAAATTCCTCTCTAGTGAAGTTAAAGAAACACTGCCTTCAGCTATGAACATTTTGCAAGTCTTGTGGCTTTTACACTTCACTTCCAACCCTGAAGAAGAAGAAAAATTGAACAGAATACTTTTTTAAAAAATCAATGAATGAATCGAACAGGTTTTTCTACCTTTTAGGAGTAGAGGTCATAAGCTACAATGTGTTCCCACTTGGCAAACTGCCATTTATAAGTTCCAGAGCTATGCAACCTCTTTTGCTGAGACTGTAGATAGTCCAAAGATGCGCTCTAGGGCAGAGGTTCTAAACCTTCCTAATGCTGCCACCCTCTAATACAGTTCCTCATGCTGTGGTGACCCCCAACCATAAAATCATTTCGTTGCTACTTCATAACTGCAATTTTGCTACTGTTATGAATCATATTGTAAATATCTGATATGCAGGATATCTGATAGGTGACTGCTGTGAAAGGGTTGCTTGACTCCCAAAAGGGTCATGGCCCACAGATTGAGAAGCTCTACTCTAGATGCTTTGTTGAGATGAGAGAACGTGGTGGCATAGAGACAGGGTGTTTTCAGGAGCAGATAGGACCAGGAATGTGATGGGGTTGTCCTTCTGTGTATAAGTTTCTCTTATTGGTTGATGAATAAAACACTATGAGGCTAGTAGCCAGGCAGGAAAGATAGGTGGGGCTACCAGAGGAAAATTCTGGGAAATGTAGGCAGACAGGAGTCACGATGTGAGAACAGGAAGGTGGAGTGCCAACCCTTCTCTGGTAAGATAAAACCATGTGGAAATAGTTAGATTAATAGAAAATGGATTAATGATTAATACTGAGTTAGCCAATAAGAAACCCTAGTCAACAATTTCATAATTAATATAAGTCTTTGTGTGTTTATTTGGCGCTCGCAAGGGTGGTGGGACCCTGCCAGGACAAAGAACCTTCCATTACAGGAGTGAAATAATGCAGAGTTAGGATGTGTCTTATCCCAACATCCAAGTACGACCAAAATAAGCCCCATTACTGGGAATTGGCATGCGATAGAAGGTTCTTTCATTCTAACACCTTTACTTTACAAAGAAGAAAGATGAAAGGTAATTTTTCCTAGCTTGGTTATGAGAAACAAATCTGTTGGATATGGCTTTTTAAAGATAAAGGGTGTCCCATGGGCCTATGTTTCAATGCCTGGTCTCTGAGTTTTGAAGCCTTTAAGAAGTACGGCATGCCTGGCAGAAGTGGGTCACTGGGGGACGAGTCTTTTAAAGGCTATGCCTGGTTCTGGCCCTGTTATAGCATCATGCCAGTGGCACAGTCATCCTCAGAGGATGGATTTCCCTCCTGGCCACAATAGACTGAGGAGATCTTCCTAAAATCATGAACCAGAATAAACCTTTCATGCCTTAAATTGCTTCTGTTAGGTATTTCAGTCACTGTGAGACAAAAGTAACTGATGCAAAAAATTGGAAGCAGAGATAAGGGATTGTTGCCTCGAGAGACCAGGATGTGTGGCTCTGAAGCCTTTAGCAGTGATCTGTGGGAGAAATGCAGAAGAGATTAAAGATATGGGCTAGAAGAGCCCTAAAATGCTTTAAGCTTACTTAATGGTTAGTTTTGCTAACAGTGAGAAAGATCAGAAAGTTGATAAAAATGCCATAGTAAAGACTGTGCTCTTGAGATTATAAATGGAACAACTCCATGAAATTACAAATGGAATTGGGAGAGGCCTGTATACTACATTCTGCCAAAAACTGTGCATACATTTTGTCCTTGCCTTAAAATTTTGGGTGATGCTGCATTCAAAAGTAATGAACAAATTTCTTTGCTAGAGGACACATACATTTAGGCTGTGGCATGGTTATTGGCAGCTGCTTTTAACTAGATTTTCAGTAAGGGCTCAACACAACTGGTGGAATATAAAGATATGAGAAATATGCAGGTTGGTGAGAAAATTACTTCAAACATGGTTCAGTTTGCAGATCAAAAGAAAAAAGTTCTGATACAGTGGCTATCATTATTGAAGACACTGACCCCATTAAAGTGATGCTGTACTTTAGCCCTGGAGCAACAGGGAAAGTCCCTTCAAGAGTGAAACTCCTCCCATTGAAGACAACAGTGTATAAATAGCCAGACACTTGAAAGACTTTCATTTAAAAGGAAATACCTAAAAAGAGCTGATAGGTGTGTTCTATTTGACAGGGCCACTTAGAGAAGTACTTTCCCATATTATCTGGGCAGATACTCAGGGGTCACTGTAGTCATGGCCAAGAATGACTGGCTACTTTTCAAGCTGGCACAATGACTTGTCCATATAGAGTTGGTTTTACAGGTGTCAGAATACAAGAGGAATGGGGTTATGAGTGCTTACACTAAGATTCATTCATTTATTTTTTCAGAAAGGCTAGGTCAGACAGTGTGTAGCCAGGTCAAATCATTTGCAGTGAGCTTGTGTTGGCTAGTTTTATGTCAAACTGACACAAGCTAATGCCGTTTTGGAAGCAGGACCCTCACATGAAAAAAAATACTCCCACCAGGCTGGACTGTGGGGTAAGCCTCTGGTTCAATTTCCTGATTGATGGTTGATGTCAGTAGGCAGTGCCATCCCTGGGCTGGTGGATATGGGTGCTGTAAGAAGGCAGACTAAACAAGCCAGGGGAGGCAAGCCAGTAAGCAGCACCATGACCTCCAGATCCTGCCTCCAGGTCCCTGCCCTGCTTGAGTTCCTGTCCTGATTTCCCTCAGTGATGGACTGTTATCTGGAAGTGTGAGCAAAAATAAACTTTCCCCCCCATGTTGCTTTTGGTCATGGTGTTTAAAAGAAATTCAAAGATAGAAATTCTGAGTGGGCTATCTATGAAGCTTGAGGGTAAAGCCCATGTTCTGGGGGAGAAAGACCATAGGATATTGGATGAGACATCTGTAAAAAAAAGTTCCAGGCAGTGAGTTCTCAGGAGAGAGATGTATGCTGCAGGGGCATAACTATGGGGACAGAACTGTCAGACCTGCTGGAGTTCCCATGACATGCCCCACATGCTGAGCATCAAGTTACTGGATTCGATGTTTGCTCTGGGATTTCAGACTTGCTTTGGTTTAATCTTCTGCTGTCTCTTACAGCTCCTTTGGGAACCGAATGTTTACTCTGTGCCTTGTGTGTTGGCAGTATGTAACTTGTTTTTGTGTTTTATAGGGGCTCACAGTTAAGAAATTGCCTTGAGTCTCAGCAGAGTCTTTGGCCCATAGCACAATGTTGCTACTGTCTAGAACACGGGGAACTCTTGAAGTTGGATTCAATGCACTTTGCATTACGAGATGATCACGAGCTTTTTGTGGTCTGGGGCAGTGTTTTATGGTTCGAAACAGAGCAGCTACCCACAGGCTTACTTATGAACACTTGGTTTCAGCTTGCAATGCTGTTTTTGAAGGCTTTGGAGCTTTTAGGAGGTAATGCCCAAATGAGAGATGTGAATCACTAGGAGCCAATTTTTAAAGATTAGACCAACCCCTTGTTCTAGCACTGTAGTCTTCCTCTCAGTCTACCATCGTGACAAGTGCTGCCACATTCTCCCACCTACCATCATGGTGTTTTTCCTGGTATGTTAAGCCTTTGAAACCATGAGCCAAAATGAACCTTTCCCCTTACCTGTTTCTTTCATGTATGCAAATGTATGCAAAATGCAAAAGTAACTAATTCATAGTGACATGCTAGTTACAAGTCCATAGTCTTGAAGGCTGGATCTTTGAGCATGTGTTCTGTTCATTTGCTAGCAAAAAATTCTAATGCAGGAGGGATCATTGTACAGAAATTCATTCTTTTCTTGGGTCCTTGAACAAGCAAACACGTCCAATGACTACAAACGGAGGCCAGTGTAGGACCCTTGTACCAGCTGTTTGCCGTATCCCAGGCTACGAGCATCCCCACAAACAGTCACCTTTAGAAACCATGAAGGTGGCTTCCAACTTGTTTTCCTAAGCCTGGGTGTTTCTGTGTATGTGGATTTTAATATGTAAATTTTAATTTACATACCAGTGGTCCATGGTTTCCATGGGGAGGAGCTCACAACCTAAGCTATGTTTGCTCTTTACATGGATTATCATCAGCCAGTCATTGCTGTTCATCTCCTTAATCTCTTCCCTCGTCTCTTCCATTCTCAGCATCTCTAAACCATTCTTCACAAATCGTGTACTGGGATAAGGGAAGGGTGGACAGAAGGAAGTGACTCAAGCCCATGTTCTCTGGTGAGTCCAAAGCTTTTCCTTTCATTACTTTGGCCACACCTGCAATATGTTCCCCAGTTTAGCATGGAGGTACAATACCCCATTTTGAAATCAGCTAGCCTATACCCTCTGGTAATTTTTAAAATGAAATTCAGTACAGAAAAGCTTTGTTGAGACTTGGGAGTTCTTCTTGACATAACTGCCATGGGATCAGGAGTAAGAAATGCAGGAATCTTCAAGGCAGTAGAAACTGTAGCTAATGAAAAGATAAGCAGTTCACCATATATCAATACAACTCTATCGCCCCAGAGACAGGTTTATAACAGATTAGACACTATCAAACTTGCAATTTAGCCACAAAATTGATACCTGAAATAAACAAAGGTTTAGGAATGCTTACCACATTAACCAGAAATATGATCCTATCATTAAGGTAATTTCTATAAGAAGGCACGGCAGGGGGGAGGACGGGATGAATTTTATTGTGAAGCTGCATGTATTGATGCCAAGTGAGAGCAATACAAAAGTTCATGTGAAGTTGAAACAGTTCTCCGAGTTTTCCTTGTTTCCCACAAATAAAGATGTGAGCACAAACATGATGTCTGCTTACCTTCATAGACCTGGTATTAATGATATAAAAGAAAACCAAATTACTTCAAGACCTCACTATGCTAATATATAGTAATGGGACAGTCCTGGTGTCATTTATTCCTAAATAGTATACTTGGCCATTTTTGGTTTCAGTGAGAGACCCTGACTCAAGGGAATAAGCAAGGTAGTGATAAAGCAAGACACCTGGTGCCTTCCTTCCTCTGGCCTCTGCCTGTGTGCATGGGTGTGCATACCAGCACACACTCAAATGTACATAAACCACACATTTGCTCATCACACTCATAAACACACATACACACACACACGCACACTCACACGCATAGGCACAGGCACAGGCATGCCCCTGGTAACCTACTTTCTTCAAGCTACCTTCCTGTTCCCATCACCGCTCAATAATGCCATCAGATTATGAATACACTGAAGCCCTCAGGATTCAATTGCTTGCTGCTATGGAACACAGCCCTCTGGGCACAAATGCCATTGCCATTTAAATCAGAGCAGCTGTGACAACCTGCATGCTCAGGATTGTTGATGTTCCCTTGTAGAAGACTTGGGTAAGGAAGATTCTCAAACCGTCACTCATTCCCAACCACTCCTTCCTACGCTTTGGGAATCACTGCAGCTCCTGAAAGCAACCCGTCACCCACGCCATACAAGCAAGCCCAATAAACTCATTGGTTCACCAAACTAGACTGAGGTGGGGAATGTAACTTTGATCTGTCATGAGTGTCCTGTTTAGGGAGAGCACACATTCATTTGTGCCTGCTTGTGAGGAGTTCACACACTTGCCACAGGCCCCTTCCCCAGTCAGTTGGCAAGTTTTTGCACATGAACCATCAGGGAAACATTTCAAGTTCAAACCGTAACAACAATTCTTTCTCTTCATGAGGGGAAAATGAAATGGATTAAAAAAAGAAAGAAAGAAAAAGAAAAAACCTTAAAACCTGTGGTCTTGGGAACCAGAGAGATGGCCGAGCCATTGAAAATTGAGCATACATACTGCTCTTGCAGACGACTGGTGCTCTGTTCCTAATGCCTATGCCAGGAAGTTTACAATCACCTGTAACTCAGCTCCCCGGGGGAACTAATGCTGCTGGCCTCATTAAGAACCTTCAATCACACACACACACACACACACACACAGAGAGAGAGAGAGAGAGAGAGAGAGAGAGAGAGAGAGAGAGAAACAGAGAGAGACAGGGACAGAGACAGAGACAAGTGAAGACAGAGTTTCTGTCCTGCCTAGTCCCATAGCCTTTTAGCCCCAAATAAACACATAGAGGCTTATATTAATCATAAACTGTTTGGCCGATGGCTCATGCTTCTTATTTGTCTAGCTCTCTCTTAATTATTGACCCATTTCTATTAATCTATGTATCCCCACTTTGTCTTGGCTTGCCAGTGATGTCCTGCCCTCTTGCTCCCTAGGCAGCTACATGGCATTTTCCTGGAGGCTGTTTTCTGCCTCCCTCTTCCCAGCATTCTCCTAGCCTGGTAGCCCCATCTATACTTCCTGCCTGGCTACTGTCCAATCAGCATTTATTCATCAACCAATAAGAGAAACATATATTCACAGCACACAGAAGGACATCCCCATCAGACAAGTAAAAGTAAATTTAAAATTTTTAAATTGTGTCTACTAAGTAAGTTTGGGCAATTATAGCCACAAAAAGTAGTAAATACCCCATACATCAGTTGAGATAAATATCAATAAATCCTGGGTTTAAATAGAATGTTGTATCCAGGCTGGAAGTATAGCTCAAGTGAGAGTGTTGGCCTAGCCTATGTCAGGTCCTGTTATTGAGTGACAAAGCTTTTCCTGGGGAGACATTCCACACACATCTACTCACTCCATTGAGGGAACCCTTGACAGATCAAAGTATGGATATCACCAAAGTCCAACTTGATGAACCAATGAGTCTTATTGTGGTTACTTACAAAAGTGTGGATGAGGGATTACTTAGAGGAGCAGGAATGACTCAAAGACAGCTGCTTCACCCCAGCCCACCCCAGCATGGGTGACAGCTCACAAAAATGGGGAACCTAAAGCACAAAGTATAGCCTACTGGCAGCTCAACAGGTTGGACAGCATCCTTTCCAAGTGACTCTGGTCTGAGCCCTCCCAGACTACTCCACTCGAGTTGGTTTCTGGCAGAGAGGGGCCTACTGAACCTGGTCAGTTTTAGGCCCTTCCTGAAGCTATTTTGAGTGAGCAGTTCACCTTCCTGCTTCCCCAGCTTCCAACAGGATGGAATGTTTCAATCTTGGAGGAACCTGTTACACAACACCTGGAACTGATTGGATAATCAGCACCCAAAACAAAATTGGAGAGTGGTTTCAATTTCCCCTAAAATATTTGAGCTGTTGTTGTTTAACAGTCTGTACCCTTAACAGAAAGATAATGATGTCATCCCTTCCAGCCCCGCCCCCGACGAAATTCACAGGTCCAACAGATAAAGAAACTGCAGTTTTCTGTCTTTAGTGAATACTATATCAGAATGCACCACCACAGTGTAAAGAGGGACTTGTGATTCCTGCATGAGTGGCTCATGCCTGCCGTAAGTCCTCTTATACCTCTGCCTTTGCAATATGCCTGCCCCTGCTGTGCTTGGATGAGAATGAGTTCTACAAGTCTATGGCTCTTGTGCCATCTGCCCAAAGCCCTGTTGCCTCCAGGCATTTCAAGAGGGTGGCCTTCCATGGATCATATTAGCAGCTCTTTGTATAATCATTTCATTCAAGTGCAATGCAGGTTTAAATGAATCAAAACTACTAACAGTGTTGTAAAAGTAGATTTCAAGGGACCTCCATGAAAGAATTCCAGAAGCCCTCTTTGAAAAACAACTATGCTAAGAATAGTCATGGGCCATTGCTTTCCCGTTGATTGGTTGACACTGTCCTGAGTGGAAGTCTGAGTCTCCAGACACTTTGTTTGATCTTTGGCTGCCTGCATCACACACTGACCTTCAAAACACCTTTTTTATCAAATCAGCAAAACTTTGCCCATGTGTTTTAAAATCATATTAGTCTTCAACAAAAGAACACTATTTCTCCCAAACTCTGTAAGTTTGTCGTTTGGAATCAAGATTTTCCTGACCTAAGATACTTGAGAAGGACAAAGTGCCCTGCCCCATTGATAGTTGTGAAGCCTGTGGCAGGCAGAGTTCTTCAGCCTAAGGAGCACCTATATCCCTTGGAAATCGATGCTAGAATGGGAAAGCGTGGTTAAGTAAGTCTCATAGGTGCCTTGCTTTACATAGTTAACAATCACTAGTCTAAACACGTAGTATTTCATTCTCTCAAAGAGCTAACATCCAGGGGCTGAGGGGAGCTTTCAACAGTTAAAGCAATTGCCACATAAGCAAGAGGACTGGAGTTCAGACCTCCAAAACCCATGTAAATGCTGGGTGAGCATGGCTGCCCGCCCCACTCCAAATCCAGTCTTAGGAGAGAGGGACAGGGAACCCTTGGAACTTTTAAAGCTGACTACATTTTATTTATTGTGTATGTGTTCCCGTGTATGTCTGCATGGGTGCCCCTACATAACAATATCATGAGATGGCTCTTTCAGCCACTCTCCTGCTTATTTATTTATTTATTTTTTTTGAAGCAAGGTATCTTCCTGGACCTGGAGCTCTCAGGCTAGGCTGCCTGGCCATGAACTTCAGGAATCTGCCTGTCTTTGCCTCCCCTCCATCTCAGTGCTAGAACCACAGGCATACAACACTACACCTAGTTTTTTATGGGGTACTGGGTATCTGAACTCAGTTCCTCACGATTGCATAGCATGCACTTGGGTGGCTGAACCATCTCCCCAGCCCCTTATATTTTATTATTGACTACCACACACGAATTATGTGTATCCTGTGGGGCATGATGTGATGTGTGTGTGTGTGTGTGTGTGTGTGTGTGTGTGTGTGTGTGTGTATAATTTCTGATTAAAATAAGCATAGTCAACACTCCCATCTTATCATTCTCTGTGTTTGAAACCTTGAGTTCTTCCCTATAATTCTTCATAAAATACCGTGTGGGTTATTATGTGCTCTAACCACTCTTTTGTGGTGTGAAATGGCAGTATTTAGTCTTTATATTTCCACTTGGGGACCATTATCCATCTTCCTGCTACCATGCCTCCCACAGTCTTCCCAACCTCCCTGTTTTACATTCTAATCAAGCGTCTGGGCCTGTTTCCTGGTACCAACTGCAGAGAAATCCTCTGGAACAGGCCAGTTTTCCTAGCCAGAGACTCCCATCGCTGCTAACGGAGACCACGCAGACCACGGTTGCTCGTGAGCTGATCTCCCTGCAGCCCCAGGTTGTCACCCTCTCCCATTCCACTTCCGTTTCCCCAAGACAACTTGTCATCCAAATGGCTAAAATCTCTCCATACACTCCACACCAGCTCACCTACTCTGGACATTCCTAGGGTTCTTCTTCCTCCCCTTGGTTATCAATTTGCCTCAAAGAATAATCATGTTATTCATTTTTCTGCTAGGTCAGTACTAAGGATGAATGATTCAAAGACAGTACTTGTGATTAAGGAGAGATCACTAGTTCTGTTAGGCACTTCATACCAAGACAATACATAGGAGACTCTAGGTGGTCAAAGAGGTCAAGCTTCTTCAGAGGCTTGATGACAGGTCTTCCTTCTTACAGAACTGTCAGCAAGCAGGATTCTCACTAAGAAATGGACCCTCATCTCCTTCACAGGTCCTAGTCACCATACAGGGGCAGCCTGACCCTCAAGTCTTGAACGTTTCCAGTTTCCTTCCCTCCATATCCCCCTGGAACACCAGTGTGACTCATTAACGTCCTTCTAATCACCAGACTGCAATTGTCTTTCTGTCTCAAATACAGTTTGGCCATTTGACCTGGGTGTCTGACTCTCGTGTCTGCCCATCAGGTTTTGATTACTCTGTACCATGTCCTATATGTTTACCTGGTAAGAGAATATCCACAAGGAGAGAGAAAGGCTGTGTTCAGACTTCCCACCCAGGCATTGGCTTTTTAATTAAAGGGAAGCTTCTCCTTCAGAGGCTGTCATATCTACCGAGGAGAGCTAACAGTCATTTTCTAGTCTAAAACATTTAGCCTTGAGGTTGGAAATCTGAGACAGACTATATTCTTAATATCGGACACTATATATCTTCTAATCTTGAATAAATGCTCCTGTACTTTTTGTGTATACTTCTACATAGAGAGGTAAATTTCAAATTCAAACCATACCTGGTTTGATGGCACAAGCCTCTAGTGCCAGGACTTATGGGACAGAGACAGGAAGATCACTGCAGATCTGAGATGAACCTGTTCTTCATGGCAAGCTGTAGACTAGCCGAGACCATGTATTCTCAAGAAAAGAAAACAAAACAAAATTTGCACCTTTTTTTTTAAATGCACACATAATGTATCCATCCCACAATGCTTACACTCCATTCTGTATGCCTGTGCTTCTCAGAGGAGTACGTAGATTAAGGAAACTGCTCTCTTGGGTTTTACTTAACAACGGAATGACTAAATCATACATGAAGAAAATGTTAGCTTCAATGAAAAATTGAAAATTCTGCCTGCAAATAATCCTGTAAAAGTTTACAGTCCGTCCTAACCATCAAGGATATTTTCCATAACTTTAGGGTCCGATAGTAAAAATATATCTACACACATCTGGGTGTTTCTAATCACAAAGCGCTGAAGTAAAATAAACATGCTTGTCCAAATACGGTTGCGTTTCGGTCAATGTTTTGCTTAATATTTTGAGAAGAGCTTTGTAAAGAGAAATTCTCTCAGCCTTGGATTTTATACAGATGCTCATGGCGCCATCTATTGGTCATTTGTCAAATGACTCCTGATGGAGAGACCTGGCATAGAAAATTTTGTTTTGGGCGGCTCCAGGGGTGGCCCAATTGAAAAATATGAGCCCATTTCTTTTCTACAAAGATACTGTTGTAGATGTTTCAGCTGACCAACCGTCTACGAGCAGAGATGGTTTCCATGACACAACTGTGCGTTAGTAACAACAGAAGCACCTAGACCTGCGGTTGCACACCTTCTGCTGTCTGGATGGGGGAATGAGGAAGCTGGATGGAACTAACTGCATCTTTGTGAACATCTCATCTAAAGATCAGTAAGTTCACAGCAGAGTGAATATAATGTGGAAAGAGGGGACAGGTGCCGGTGTCAAATTAGCACCTCTCTACAAAGACCAGAAGGAGTTTGCTGCAGCGGTGGGAGGTGTGCCTCATCACAGAATCTAAGTTCTTTCTTTCTTTCTTTCTTTCTTTCTTTCTTTCTTTCTTTCTTTCTTTCTCTCTTTCTTTCTACCTTTCTTTCCAAGTTCTTTCTTGTGGACCATTCCTGAAAGTCAAGTCCCAAGTCTTCTCCCCATTCAGCATATGCTCTTTTCACATCTTTTTAAACATTCATTTGCTTTCTCACAAGCAAAACTGGCCCCTTCCATTTACTGTTTACAGTTTTCTGTGTCTCAGGTACAAAACACCCTGTGGATGTTTTCCCAGACGCCTCTAACAGGCCCATTTGTCATCCTGCCCCAACCCTCATGGAGCTCCTCTGAGTTCCATGCTCCCGGGAGCCTGGACACTTTGCAGTGTAAGAATGTAAACCCCCTGTTGGCTGCAGAGGGCTTGTCTCAGAGCTACCCCAGCTGTTGTCTTTTCACACACGGGGGTCATCCACAAATCGTGAGGTGTACTGGAGGTCTCTGAGCAGAGCCTGCCTGATTGTGCTTCTGAAATCTCTTTTTTATAGGAGGAGGAGAAAAAGAAGAGGAAGAAGGAGGGGGGAGAGGAGGGGAAGGAGGAGGAGAAGAAGAAGAAAGACAAAGCTCTATGGGAAAACTATTTTCCCAGAACTATATTAAATTCCAAACCTGGTGTATATGTTGACATTAAAATCCAAATCCAAAATTGGGAGGGAAGTGAGGGTCTCTCTCTTGAACCAAATATTAACTTAGCCCCTTGTAAATACTATGGTTATCTGAGATATCTAAAATAAAAATGATTGTGTAAAGATGATGGGATCAATTGGATGTCAAAGATAATTCATACATTTTTACATCAAATACAGGACTCTGCATATGCTTAAAATACTCATATGACTTGTGAATGCAATAAGGTCAGATACTGATGGTTTCAACAGTAAGTTACTCCCTAGAGGTGAGCATGCAAAACATGGGAAGGACTTGGGTGTTTTCAAGAGCACATGGTATGAAGTCCTGGGCCCTGATAGAAATCTGAATCAACAGGTCCTAGGGCCTGCAATACGGCTCAAGTGGTACAGGCACTTGGTGTGCAAACCTGTTGACCCAGGTTTGATTCCCAGAACCAACATAAAAATGGAAGGAGAGAATTGACTCTATGAAGTTGTTCTTTGGTCTCTACATGAACGTCTTGTCCTGCCTGATCCCTGCTCTTGTACATATGTGTGTGGTGGAGGAGGTGATAAAACACCATGTACAAAAGCAACTCAGAGAGGAAAGGGTTACTTAGCTTATGCTTCTACAGCACTGTATATCATTGAAGTCAGGACAGGAACTCAAAACAGGGCAGCAACTTGAAGGTTGGAGCTGATGCAGAGTCCATGGAGGAATGCTGCTTACTGGCTTGCTCAGCCTGCTTTCTTATAACCTAGGACCACCAGCCCAGGGATGGCACCACAAACAATGAGCTGGGCCCTCCCTGATCAATAACTAAAAAAGTGGCCATAGATGCCTCTCAGATGACTTCAGCTTGTGGCAAGATGACAGAGAACTATTCAGGACACTATATTGTATGAAATTCTCAATTAATAAAATATTATATTTTTAAAAGATGGAAGCTTTTAAAAGACTAGTAATTAATTCAAATAGTAAAACTAATAATTTTTATAAGCATTGTTTTATTTAAGAAAAAAAAACACTTCCAGTGGTACAGAAGTGAGCTAAGAAAAAAATTGTTTGTCCTGGGAGATGGTTTAATACTAAAGACTGTCACAATTTATCTCAAGCCCATGTGAGATGGAGGGAGATGGAGAATCCACTGCTCAGAGTAAAACAGTTTGTTTTTTTACCTAAGATACCTGAGCTATAAAGGTAGTCTGTTAGAAAAAGGTTAAATTCCCAATGTCTAACCCTAAGCAAAGGGAAGTAAGACAGATTTGTGAATCACTAACCATGGAGAAGAGAATACAAGATAAAATGCTACCGTCTACAGCTTTGGCCTGTCAGGGCCCAAATCTAGCTGGTGTGACTTGTGTCTTTTCAAGCTGATATGTCAACAAAACAGAATGAGGGTTGAGATTTGCATCTTTTGAAGCCCCTCACCATGTTTCTCATGCTCCAAGTAAAGCAAACTGTTGTTAGCCCTGCTTTTGCAGGATGGAGCCCAGATTGCTCCACTAGAGACAGGGAGCTGACCCAAGAGAAATGCTTTTCTTGGGCCAGGACCTCAGTTGTAGTTGTAGTTGTAGTAGCTGGACACAGATGTTCTGCAGCCAAGAGAGAGAGAGCAAGACAATGAACCATTGGGCACTCACTTTCTTTCCCCCTGAGCGTTCATTGCTGGCTTTGGGGGAAATGCATGAGGTCCTCTGACTTTCCTTTGGCCACCCCTCCTGTTATACCTCAGGGCTCTGAATCTAAACAGTGAGGCATGGTGAAGTCACTGAAGAAATAAGGGAAGAGGCAGGAATCACGAGAGAGCAAAGAATATCCAGAGGAGAGAGACTTCGAGGAGAGGAGGAGACAGACAGGGGAGAGAACCAAGGGGGCAGAGAAAGTAAATGAAAGAGAGGAGGGAGGAAAGATGAGAACAGAACAAGAGGAAGAAAAAGAAAAAAGCAAGAGGGAAAGCAGAGGAGGCCTAGAAGAGAAGGGAAATGGGGGGTGGGGTTATGGAAGAGGAGAATCCTGGAGAGGTTGAGAATTGGAAATAAGAAAATCATTATCCGGCTATTTAGAAACTCATCTAAGCTTTTGGAGTCCAGATTCCAACAGCAACTAAACAACAGAAAGTCACAAAGTTTGACACTGCCGTGGAAGAAAGTCATAGAAACAAGACAAGGGAGCACTCCAGACTGATCTTTTGAAACAAAATGTTTGCTCAGCAAGCCTATGCCTTAAACTGCTGTCCTGCATTGGTCTTTGTGCTTGTAGTGGACGCGTGGTGTCAGGAAATGGCCTTCGTCTAGGAAGAATTCGGAAGCAATTGCTGTCGAGCATCCTCTGATGTCATTATTTGGCTTGAAGCGAATTCCCAGTGCAACTGACAGCTTCATAATCAAATACAAGTATCAAAAACAAAAGAGCAGTAATAACAAAAACCTAATCCCTCTGGTATTTAGAAGAGAATACAAGCTTGAACTCTAGGGTCAAGCTGCCTGGGGTGGGGGTACCTTGAACCCCTGGTTGTATGGCCCTGCAGAAGCATTTCTTCACTCCAGTTTCCTGGTCTGTAAATTGAAATTATGAGTACTCTGGGTAGTGTGTCGAGTAGAGTGCCTGGCACCCAAGCATCAATAGATAGTTTGCATGGTACTTACAGGATTAGGGGAGCATTAGTGCTACCCTAGCCATTTAAAGGAGCGGCCTGTCTATCTCATCTTCATAAGCTGTTCAATGGTGACATGCTCTTGTCATGAATGAAGGACAAGGGGCAGTAGGAGACTGGCTGACATCAGACAACTTCAAGCTTCTTTCTGAGACAGTCACTCAATGGAGTTTTCCCAGTATTGTTGATTTTTTTTTTTGAGAACTAAATATTTAATTACCAGTCTCAGGAATGAGCAGCTGGACTTGGCTGCAGCCCCACTAAGTGCTGTTTCTTTCTAAATGAAAGTAGAACATTGAAATGAAAACCTGGCTTCTTGGCTTGCTCATGGGAAGACTGACTCGGAGCTTTTCCCATTAGAACAGCTTTCTGTCCATCTGAATGAGGTACTGCTCCCTCCATGACCACTCTGGTGGCTTTCATGTCACTTCAGAGTGCTCTTTTATTACAGGAAGTGGAGTAAATCAGTGGGGAGGCTGATTAGAATCCCTGTTAGAGCCAAGTGGATAGAAATCAGATTAAGGAATGTGAGTGTGTCTTTAAATCACTGCCCTTGACTGAACCAATTACACCTAAGTATACTTCTACTTCCTCTTTCAATTCACAGCAGTGAGCAGAGAGCCAGGAAAAGAGGCTCTCACACTGAGAGCAGTGAGCAGTAGGTATCAACTTGTTTCAAACAGGCACACACACACACACACACACACACACACACACACACACACACAGGTTCTCTTTCACACACACACAGGTTCTCGTTCACACACACACAGGTTCTCTTACACACACACACACACACACACACACACACACAGGTTCTCTCTCACACACACACAGGTTCTTTCTCACACACACTCTCTAACACATACACAGGTTCTCTTACAACACACACACACACACACACACACACACACACACACAGGTTCTCTTACAACACACACACACACACACACACACACACACACACACAGGTTTTCTGTCTCACACATACAGGCACACACACTGATTTCTCTCATACCCGCACAGGCACACACAAACACAGGTACACACATGCACATACACAGGATTTCTCACTCTCTCTCACACACACATGCACTGGCACACACACACATGCACAGGCACACACAATCACAGGCACATACACAGGATTTCTCACTCTCTCTCACACACACATGCACTGGCACCTAAAACCTCTCCAGATGTTCTTAGGTCTGATTTGCAATAGCAGTACAGTATTTGTGGTGAACTTTCTGAATGCCAGGCACTTGACTGGCAGCTTTGCATACACACTTCCATTTAATTTTCACAATAAGAGTGTGATGTAGATACTGTTGCCTTTTTTTTTAAGATGATAAAACTGAGGGTCAGAGAATAATGTCAGATATAATCGTTACTTTTGGGGTACTTCCATGTGCTAAGTGGTTTTACACAAGCGGCTTCATTTCATCTTTGCAATAGTTTTGTGGGGGTTGTTTGTCCTGGTTTCAGAGGTGATAAAAATATGCCTCATAATTATGACCAGTTTGCAATAGTTACCACTTTTTATACACTAATCATGCATCAGGCACCCTGTCATGATTTTTTTAATTTGACACATCATCTTTTGTAATTATTACAACCTCATGGATTAAATCTTATCCTCTACACTTTACAACTAAAAAAATGAGGGAGGGCACAGCAAGACAGACAACCTGGCCAACGTTATTCAAATAAGAAAAGACAGCCAAGGTTTTACCTAAAAATTCAATGATCACTAGTCTGAGCATAGTCTCCACCGGACACTGTACCTGCTTTCATTTCTTTTTAAATGTCTGCCTTTTTAAAAACAGTAGTATAAATGATATAATGACAAAACCCCCCAAATCTACAAGACATTGATTAAAAACCAATTTGAAAGTGGCTTCCAGCTGTTCAAATATAGTCAGCGTGACTACTCAAAGAAATATTAAGAGTGCCAGGTTCTAACCCATTGGATAAATAGCAATTCATGAGTCCACACGGATGTGAATGAACGAGAAGAAAAAAGTTGCTCCTTACAGTGAAAAGCCGGTCAATAAATACAGAAAGAATAACACTATTAGAAAGCCGACATTTGGCAATCTCTAGAGCAATAATTAACTCTGAGAAGTAACCTCAATGGAATCCAAAACCAATGGGAGAAATTGGAATAAGATTTTTATAGACTCAACATAACTACAAAGTATTTATTAATAACAAGTGGGGAAAGAATTTTTATAGGGGAGAGACCAGGCAGGCACCCCAGTCTTAATTCAAGAGGCTAAAGCAAACTCTCCAGTAACAGGACAGATAGACACCACAGGCCTGCTAACAAGATGGTGATGTAAAGAATGCAGCATCTGACCAGTGGTGGTGGCTCATGCCTTTAATCCCAGCACTCAGGAGGCAGACACTGGCAGATTTCTGTGAGTTTGAGGCCAGCCTGGCTACAAAGCGAGTTCCAGGACAGGCTCCAAAGCTACACAGAG